GGTGAATAGAAAAAATATGGGAATGAAAAAATGTTATAAGTGAAAAAATTCAAATATGAACGATAAAGAAGAAAAAAAAGAAACCAGCAAATGCAGACAAAATTTGCCCAACTTCTCCACCAATTGTAAGCTTCTCGTTTCTGGCTGTCTATGACTCTTGCCCCATACTAAGGATTATGCTAGATGACAATGGTATTTAATCCCGAACTGCTACAGGAACGAGAAGTCATACGTAATATAAAAGAAAAACATTCTTACCGGTTGTTGATATGTTGAGAAGGGAGAATAGGGAGATAATGAGAGAGGTTTTATTAGCGTCAATGTAAACACTAATATAAGAAGAACAGGTATATAGTAATAGAAAAGAGAGAAAGGTAGGAAAACGATAGAACAGGATATCAGGTATATGTATCACCGGTAGAAGAAAAAAAACAACAACTGAACAGAGAAAAACATATCTATGGATAAACAGTGGAAAGTCCAATGGAAATACATATATGGACCATAGAGAAGAAGGAGGAAAATCACCATATAACAACTGGACAGTTAGCGGTAATAGAGGGACCTCTATTGACGCTAACAAGAGCCATGGACATTTGATGAATTCTTTCACGAATATGCTCCATACAAATGGATTGCTAAAGTACAAGTGTTTGAACTACCTTCTCAAAAAATAATGATAATTAATCAATCATCTCTTCATACACTAAATGCATCAGGTCAAACTTTGGCATCATCTATATACTCTTTACCTGATGTAGTTTTCTCAGATTGTATTAAAACATTCTACTTGTCCTTTTGGAATACATCAAACAATTATGCGATTGTATTCTATTGTCGTTTGACAAACAACATTCTTATTATTCGATTGAAAAAGATGGATGTGAACTCACTATGTGGTTTTAGCAAATTAATAAATATTAACAAAAGTCATTTTCAATTATGATGAATCTAGTGAAATAGTTTGTTTTTTGTAAATACATTATCCATGATTTTTGTTGTTATTAGTTAGAAAATTGACTGTCAAGTCAGCTCATCCAAAAAATAGATAACATTTTTGTTTTTATTGTAATAGTCAATGGTTTTGGAGAAAATTCTATAGATTTAATTTATTCTAAATTAAACTAATCTTAATTTCTGATTTGGGTTAACTCTCAAAGACTGTTTTGTTAGCAGGAATTTTAGATACATTTTAAGAATCATGGACGGGAAATGAAGTGAACTTCAGTCGACATATATTGGAGTTGTAGTAGAAATTCGTAGTTGATACTTGGTGTTAGGCTGAATTTGGAATAGAAGAACATATTTAGTGTTTTTAATATGGGTGTGGGTGTGGGGTGTGTGTAGGTGCGAACAAAGAATGAACCAACACCCGCACCCCACACCCCGGAATTAACATAAAAGAGACAATCTAATCATATCTAAAATAGGTTTAAATTTAATATAATTAAAGATATTCTATTTAAAATTATTTTCCACAACATTTTTTTCATTATTTACAAAGGGTTGTTCTCCATTACCTGCTCTCGACGATTTAACTATACACGAATGGCATAATTTAACTTCTACCACGGATCAATGCATAGAATTTTGTCAGCATGTTAGCTTATTACATGTTCATCCAACCAAACCATGTAAAAAAATGCACAATAATTGGTATTTAGGGTCCTCTTTAACATCAAACGATCAATGCAAGTGGCGTTGTAGTACATGTAAGTATTCTCGTTCATTACGTGATGCTACTTTTTTTTCAAAGAATCGGCTAACAATACAACAAATTTTGGATTTAATATTTTACTGGTCACAAGGTTTAGATTCATATAAATTTATTAGAAAAAATGTTCAAATATTAGGTTATGCAACAATTGTTGACTGGAAAAATTTTATGCATGATTTATGTGGTGAATGTTTCATTCGTCTTCCAGCTATTATTGATGTGGTTAATCATGTGGTGGAAATCGATGAAAGTGCATGGACGAAACGAAAATACAATCGAGGTCGTCTAGTAAATACTCAGTGGGTATTTGGTGGTATCGATAGGGATACTCATGTGTGCGTTTTGCTGTCGTTCTAGATCACCGTGATGCTGCTACGTTGATGCCTATTATTCATCAATATATTTTACCTGGCACAACAATTTACAGTGATCAACGGCGAGCTTACAATGCGATAACAAACGGCAGAGATGGATCTGATCGTTATGTTCACGAAACGGTTAATCATTCACACAATTTCGTCGATCCGACTACATAATATATCTTAGAAATATTCGAAATATACAATATTCTGGTCTGGAACATGGTGTTAATAAAAGACTTACATAGAATTACAAAAATATTAAATACGTCTGTTATATTATATCATTATACCCCAGGTCCAATAAAACGGCGTAGTAAACGGCCTAAAACGGCTCGTAATACGGTATGATGGATTACGGCGCAATAAGGCCAAAATTAATGCAGTAATTCGTCGTTTTATAGCCCTCTCAGACCGGATAAGACGCCGTTTCCGACGACCGGAATGCTCGGCCCGTGACTAGTCAGATACTATATTCCAGGAGAAAATATTATTTCTTGAGAACATATTCACAATAGTTTATGTTTTTTTTTCTTTTATATATTTATTTAACTTTTTACGTGATTTGTTGAAGAAATAAGATTGAAAAAAAAAATAAATAAATATTTTTTTTTCATATAAATTTTGTTTTGAAAAAAAATCACATCGAAGAAAAAGCTGGACAAATGATATTGCACATTGGGGAGCCAGGCGGACATATGCGAAAATTTTCTTTCCCAGAATCTAACCGTTTGCGAAGACACATGCATATCTGATCTATCATTTCCTAAAATAGCGGTTCTCCAAGTTTTATAGAGCCCAAGAAAAGAGCCAGCCAAGGCTTGGGC